GGAAGCGAAAGAGAACAAGGAGAAACAGAGAAAGCGAAAGGGAAGGGAAGAGAAGAGAGAGAGAAACAGCAATCTCATATCTGAAATCGGCCGGCTCTAGTGGTAGGTCCCTTCTCTTCAAGTTGCTGGAGGACGTAGAGGATGGCAAGAGTAGCAGGCCGAGCAGAAGAAGAAGTAGTAGTAGTAGTAGTAGAAGAAGTAGTAGTAGAAGTAGTAGTAGTAGTAGTAGTACGTAGTAGTACGTAGTAGTACGTAGTAGTACGTAGTAGTACGTAGTAGTACGTAGTAGTACGTAGAAGTACGTAGAAGTACGTAGAAGTACGTAGTAGTAGTCGTGGTAGTAGTAGTAGTTGTAGTAGTAGTAGTAGCAGCAGGAGCAGTAGTAGTAGTAGCAGTGGTCGTGGTATTAGTAGTAGTAGTAGTAGAGGTAGTAGAAGCGGTAGCAATAGCAGTAGTAGCAGTAGCAGTAGCAGTAGCAGTAGCAGCAGCAGCCGCAGAAACGATAGAAGTGTCTGATGAGGGTGCGCCTACGCGGCTTTTGATATTTGCCTGTAGGGCGTTAAGGCGTCACGCGTTGTGCTTTGTCCGATTCCTTTGTTGGAACCAAGTCACAGGGGAAGGCCATTGGTTTCAGACACACCTGAGATGCACAGGGTTTTCCCTTTGTTGAGTTCTTTCACCTGGCCCCCCAGTCCAGTCATGCTGGCAGCCGACTGTATCAGCCAGGCAGCAAGAGCAGATGCAACGCCGCGAGCAGTTTCTTGGCAGAGGAGGTCGTCATTGTGACAGCATGGAATGATAAACCACCTTGGTGCAAAGACTACAAAAGGTGCGGTTTGGTCACGAGTAGTCAGCAGGAAGATGTTGCCACTGCTCTGGATGCTCGGGGGGATGTTCAGTCACATCGGTCTTGTTAGCCGCCCCTGGAAAGTTACCCATTTCTACATTAAACCAAGCTACTTTGGGCATTCCATGGACTGCATCAAATGGGCCGAATTGTTGAGGGGTGATTATCAACAATTCAACACGGTGAACGACAACTCAACAAGTTGAACTCGAAATCGGCTTGGGAGGCGCGCGTTGAACACTCGAAGTGCCCAGGGTTTGCAACTGCAGGGTCCCAGCGCAAGAGATTGCACTCCTCGACTAGGAAGTTCGCTTTATCAAAAACTCCAGTCCGATTTGCCACATTTGCTTTTCGGCTCGCCAATGAACCATATCACGCAGAAATCAATGTTTTGACCTCGTGATTGTGTTCCACCCCGGGAATGGTCCGACAAGCCTTGTTCTGCAGTTGCTGCTACTGCACCCGTTCAAACGGATTCAACAATTTGATTGGGATTTGCAATCAGGACTTATGAAATGCTTTACGATGATAAGACTTCAAAAGCCTTTCTGAGTGCTGGTAGTACGGCAGCGCATTGTTCAGGTTTTCGTGACATTTTGCACAACCCCTGCCCATGAGAGCGAGCCGTCGCATCCTAGGGCATCCTCTCCAGCCTGGTGCCCGGGCAGACTCTGGGTTGGGACTTTGGGCAGTCTGCATGCATGGCCACTGAGGAAGCCGAAGAAGCCCATTTGAAGGTCGCGTCAAGAACACAGTCTTAGGCACAGCTCGGCTATGTCTGCTGAAGGAGGATATCTCTTTTCTTTCTGTGACTTTGGGACCTATAGACATCGGAGACTTCCAAAAGTCCATCAGGAAATATGAGTTGGCTTCAAAAATCCCCCTGATTTACTTTATGTAGGAGTGTTTCATGTGCATGAGTTTTTCTCTGAAACAACAACACGGGACGTCCAAAAAGATACCCCCAAAACCTGAGAGAAAAACCAGGAACACGATACGGGACGTCCTATCGGACAATAGTTTTGACGCTGGCTCAATTTGCGGAACGATAGATGATTCCTGAGGCCATCTCACCCCTCACATTGCGAACTTGTGGAAGGCCATGTGTTTTTATGCTTTTGCTTTTGTCCCTTGGAGTAGCAATTCGAGCGTGGTGAAAGTGTGGAGCCTTAAGCATAGGTTGTTTCATCCATCTCGGGTGGGAAATGTTCTGATTGCCAGGTGGGTTTGTCAAAAGGACCTGTCCGGCTCCATGTTAGTTTTGCTTCAATGAAGCCATCCAGTTGGCAAGTTCTACATTCATATTGTATATGCATATATTTATACATATATTTATACATATATATTTATATCTACATATATATATATATATACATATCTGACTGCAGACGTTCACGTTCCCGGTTAGTTATGTTCACCAAGGTCACTGCAATGAATTCAAAGCATACAGGGCAAGCAGTAGAATTATGGTGTGTCGACGATAATGATTCGAAGAAAGCAAAGTTGAGGTCAAGCTTGTTCATTCCATATTGCTAAAGCTCCCCCCATGTTCATGGAATAAAACCTTGAGGTGCTGATGTCAGGTTTTACGTTTTGCAGGCTAAGCCAACTACAAGCTTTGATTTTTAGATGGACGTCGTTGTTCCGCTTTCAGCAGAGCGTGCGCAGCATGTCGAAACGTGTCGAACAGCTCTCGACATGTTTCATGAATTGCGACATGTTTCAAAAATTGCGAAACGTGTACCTTTGGCACTTCGACCCAGTTTTTCAGCTCAAGCCCTTGCCGAAGTATCCGCCATGCCGCGCGCATCCAATCGCCTGTTGGTGTAACTCGGCTGGTCACTTCGACTTGTAACTTGCACTGGAAAGGCCTCAAGCCCAATTTAGTTCAGTGCCGGGTCGTCCATTTTGAAAGGCGCTAGCGCAGGTGTTTGCTCCAAGGTGATGCCAAAGGGCATTGTCAAATTGTGCCCCTTGCAGGCAGATGAGAGCTTTCCTTTTCTGTATCCCTCTATTTTGTTCCCCAGGAGAAGCAAGGGACGACCTAGCTACTAGTTGGAGTGGCGAAACACAGATCCCAAGAAAGGAGGGCATTGTTTAATGATTGTCATTCCAATCGCCTTGTATGGTATTATGTTGTAATTGCAGGACAAGTGGCCACCTGTGTAGAATTATTCTAATATAAGAGCGCGCTGCGCTATGAAGCATTCACAGTGCTGCTTGATGTCGTTTGAGGACTGAGGTTGTTGATGCTAGGACCTGCTAGGATTCTCACTCTGAGACTCAAATCTCTGTTGTTGTGGAGTGAGACATGCCGCGTGAGCTGCCAGGTCGGGCCTTCTGGCCCTCGGGGCCTTCACCCTGACCCGCTGCTTCCTGGGGGCGAATGCGCCGTCAGTGCATCCGCACCTCTCCGAGTCAAAGTCATATGAATATGCAGGAAGAAGTGCACCGTACTGCGCACAATGCGAGTCTGTTCCTGAGACTCTGTACACATATGCCGATACATACATCTTATATCTATTCTCAGGCAGCTGTGATTTGGTTTTGGCCATTCAGCAAGAGGTGGCTGTAGCGGGAGTCATGCTGGTCTGGTGCATGGTGCGACGTAGGGACCAAGGTTCCCAGACTAGCCCCATAAGAAACGTTGGCAGCCAGCCGCGCGAGTGATCCCTATGCTGTTTTCAACCAAAGAACAGCGGGTTATAGGGGTAATTTTGTTTGTCTATGTGTGCCTCTAGGTTAGCCTGGCTCCTGCGTTGTGCTAGGTTAGGACGTCTTGAGGGAGAAGACAATGTGAAGATCTCGATATGTTCACAAGGATCACATGTGGCTCTTGCTGAAGGGTTTGGCCCAAGAGTCTTCCCCAAAGTGGCTCCAAGATCTGAGCCTGGGCCATGAGCTGGCACTGTGAGCTTTGCGCAAGTCACGCACCCCTGACAGCCACCGACTGTGGGTGCTACGTCAGCTTATGCGAAGGTTGCCTTGAGAAGGTCCTTCGCGCGACATCTTGCAGGTATTGCAAGGCTGGGACCTCCTGTGACAGATGTGCCATGGTTGCCAAGAAAGGATCTTGGCTCAGATGTTCAGCGTCAGGCTGCCCACTGAGAGAGCGTCTTCAAAACAACTGTTGTGAGACTTGTTGGGACATTTTTTTGACATGGCTTCCAGACCCGCAATGGCTAAACTACAAGACCGGAGATCATCCATGCAACATGCTTGCATGTGGACACTTGTCGTGCACTCTTCTGGACGCAGGAAGATGTACGCAATGCATGGAAGCAGAGACACAAGTGAAGACAGACTGCCGCGCAAAGATTGAGGCAGAGCAGGAGCAGATTGAGGCAAAGAGCATTGCTGCTGATTTGCAAGCGCTGAAGCACGTCAAGTTCAAGAGCGCGACTTTCAAGACCTTCATTGCAGAACTTGCTTCCAGATCAGGGACAAAGTGCCGATGGCGCAAACCACGGATGCAAGTGCGGATTGCCAAAAAGCGCAAGACAACCAGGTTGGCTCCCAGTTGCACACAAGATGAGCCAAGGACGTCTGAGGAGTTGGCACGCCGGTCAAGGTCAACACAGCGTATGTCGGATTTGATACCTGACAGGTTGGACATTGAGTTGGAGCGCATGTGCACTTCCTCTCGTTCAAGTCGTCCTGGTGCTGTGGGGAGCACTTTGCAGCACCTCGGAATTCCCATGAAGCCAGCAATGCCTCCGACGTCAGCCATCCCGAGCATGCCCTGTGGGACAGCCACGGCTCCCATGCCATCGTCCTCAGCGGCTCCGGCCTCCCCAAGTGCAGCAGCCTCAGTGCCAGAAACTCCACCGGCAAAGCCTAGAGCTCCAGCGTCGGTGCACACACGCTCTGGGACAGGTGGTAGAGCTGAGTCACTGGTGCCAGACAGCCTTGAGCTTGAGCTTGGGCGTTTGATGGATGAAGAATTCGGACATGAGGGTTGCATGTGAACAGAGGATGGGGAAGCTGGTGATCAGTTAGAGCCCACGTTAAGCATTCTACTCAGCGGAAGAAATACGTTGACGCTTCCTGAGATTGGCCAAACCAGCACTCATTTGCATGGTGTATCAAGTCAGGTGCGAGGAGCGTTTCAACGTGCGGTGGATCGAAGGAACAGGGAAGAACAAAGACGCACATGCCCCTGCCCGGGCGGGAGTCCCCTTCCCGCCATCAGTCGAAGCGTCGCGAATATGAAGCTTTTACTCTAGCAGCAATGCGGGATTGACGTGCTGATTAGTGTCGACTTCTTCCGATGCTTCAGAGATGGTGGATGAACATCTTGAATCAGCCTATGTTGCTGAGGATCTTGAATTGTGGTTCTGGACACTTTTGTGTGCGACCACGAAACAGGTTAGGAGGAATGCATGGGGACATGTGTGTTTTGCCAGCATGCCATTTGTTAGTGGCAAGCAGAAGGCATTTTGCAAATCCTAAGCCGCGTTCAACTGAGGACGGCCAAGCCTCACCACGTGGCGCTGCGGGCCCGCGGCGGCGGAGAGTACGACATCAGCGGCTTGGGCAGTAAGCAAGGTCGAACTGTCTCAGGTGGCCAATAGCACGTAGAAAGAATGGTGATATGATCGGGGAACTCCGACCAACAGCTCCAGCAGACCCAGCAGAATCACCGCCTCTTTTGTTGCTCCTAGATGGCAGGTCGCAAGGTTTGTCATTTTGATTCATCGCGCAGCTTGAGCAGACCAATGGCAAAACAGATAGGGTTCAAATACAACAACATACTATAGCCAAAAGTCGAGGGGTGTTGGGAGCTGCTCACGTGGCTTAAGTTGAGAACTGACAAGCAAGGCAAGCGGATCATTTTCGCTCTTGGGCTTCTTCACTGGCGATGGCATCCCGCATTACAGGAATGTCTCGTTGGCTTTGGGATTGCAAGATTTAAGGGTAGCAGAAAACATGCTTGGGACAGAACATACCAACAACCAACAACGAACAAACAGGGTCGCAGAGCGCAGGAAGTATGGGCTTGCAGAAACGATGCGCTTTCTGATTTGCATTTATACAGTAGAGACCCATAGCAACCTCGACATTGGCTCGCCCGTGATTGATGTCCATTTCCGCCCACTCCAACATAGGGAGTTTTGAGCAGTGCTGGCATGGAAAGTCATTCGCTCTCTCGCTCTCGTTCTCTCGGGTCGCGGTGTCCAACATTTTGCACTGCCATCTTTCCCAAGGCCCAACATCCCCAAGACTGAACCAGCGATTTCCCCTGCAGTTATCCTTGGGGACCAAGACTAAGCCGGCATCAAACCAGTCTACACTTCCTCAACAACAATTCCATACTCTGCTGTTTGAGTTCTTGACTTGTAAACAGCATGGTGTTCTTTCTTTGGGACAGCATACCTCAATAGTGTGCCTCGGATCTGATTCCAGGTGCCGTTCATGTTAAGATTCCATCCAGATCAAGTGATACTGTGGATGGGCGAAATCCTGCACCACCTAAGAAACCCTGGAATTATGATTCTCCTGCAAATACCAACAAGCAATGGTTTTCCACAGTTCCAGGAGGCTTGAGTTCGAAGACGACCACCACTGAATGATAGTCTATTTGAAACATGCTTGCAGAGATGGGAGGTGCTCCCATTGAATCAACTAGGCCGTGTATGTTCATAGGATCGGGTGACTACGTTGGAAGACTTTCGGAAGCCTCCAGGTCCCAAAAATGCACATTTGAGGGAGACATGCTTTGGGACAATCTGGGCCGATGGCAGAATGAGAGAGGGGGTGCTCAGGAAGTCATTGTTTTTGTATTGAGGGCAACATAGGTGCCTAAGTTTCAGCTCCATTTACTTGGATCGTCGAGTTCCCCTCACGCAGGTGATGCAGACATCGAGGCCTTCTATCAGTCCCTGCTGACTGGCAGTGGCGGCGACCCTGCGAAGGCGGCACGCAACATATGGCAACAAAGTTGTTGCCGACGTCGGATTCAACATGATGTGCTTGTGTCGCCAATCGCGCAAGATTGCAATGTTTGACAGGGCGGCCTGTTGCATGAATTTGCTTGTCGCTTTTTGCGGAGATGCTATTGATGGCGCACAGGGCACCGTGCTCTCAGAGCTCATTGTGAAGTTCTTTCACGGCGAGTTCACACCCCAGGGCTTTCAGCGCTACTCTGGCCTGTGGAAGGGCCCTCCTCCTGGCAACATCGGCAAGAAGGTGCGACCGGGTGTGAGAGCAAAGGGCACGCCACCAAAGACCAAAGGGGTTTGTCAAAGCACCTGCGAATGTTCAGGACATTGCCGTTGGCGTGGAAAAGTTGAAGCAGCAGATGGCGAACCCCATGCCGCTTTCTCTGAAGTGAAGGAAGGCAAGGCTTCAGAGGCGCATGCGATTTTGAAGTCGCCCCTCCCCTGTGGTTTGTTCTTGGTGTAGGAAAGTTACGAAGTTCGGGTTTGAGCAATCATCGTCAAACCAGTGTTTGGACTTTGGGCTCGGCAGCGAGGACCGCTTTGGGGAAATGAACGGAAACATTGATAAATGAGATTGCGAGTGATGAAAGCCAAACAGAAAGGCTGGACTGTTTGATACCTTGCAAAGGCGACGCTGGGCAGCATGCTCAGATGGTCTAACTTCCCAAGTGGGCCTTCTGATCCTTTGCAAAGTTCTTGCAGCGTCACACC